CTGAGCAAGATTGAGACCCCGTCTCTACTATAAATAGAAAGAAATTAATTGGCCAACTAATATATATAGAAAAAATTAGCTGGGCATGATGGCGCATGCCTGTAGTCCCAGCTACTCGGGAGGCTGAGGCAGGAGGATTGCTTGAGCCCAGGGAGGTTGCTGTGAGCTAGGTTGATGCCACGACACTCACTCAAGCCTGGGCAACAAAGCGAGACTCTGTCTCAAAAAAAAAAAAAAGAGTTTGAAGGGTTGGCTCCTCTGAAGGCAGTGAGTTATCTCACTTGATTGTTGACAGTCAGTTACAGATTAAACTCCTTGCTCTACTACTTTTCCCCCTTCTCACTACTGCACTTGACTAGTCTTAAATTTTTTTTAATTAAGTAAAAAAAAAAGAGAGAGAGAGAGGCATCTGGGTGTTCCTTATCTTCCAAATTACCCCTGAAAGCACCACTCCCTATAGTGAAGGCCCACTCTGTGCCACACAATGCCTGTCTTACATAGAAGCTCTCTGGTAATGACAGGAATCCAGCAGCCCACAGAATCAAACTCTGGATTTCCATAATCTCAGCCCTACAAGAAATTTTTCATAAAAAATCACCATTGCCATAGAAAATTTCAAAATTTTAGTATATATCTTGTAACTAAAATGTAGGGTTTGACTTTATCTTCCTCTTAATGCTCTGGGGTAGTCTCATAAGTAGCCATCCTACTCCATGAACCTGAAATTTCACAGCCTCTTTATTGTTCCATTCCAACAGTTTCTACTCCTAATTTCTTTTGAGTTTGATACTTGCCTATTATTATTATTTGAAAAAAATGTCCTTGATGTGTCAGTTTACTAGGGCTGCCATAGCAAAGTACCACACTCTGGGTGGCTCAAACAACAGAAATTTAATTTCTCACAATTTTAGAAGCTAGGTGGCTGAGATCAAGGTGTTGGCAGGGTTGTTTCTTCTGAGACTGCTCTCCTTGACCTACGGATGGCCATCTTTTCCCTTTTTATTCACATCATCTTCCCTCTATACATGTCTGTGTCCAGATTTCCTCTTCTTACAAGGATACCAGTCATATTGGATGGGGGCCCGTCCTAATGACCTCAGTTTAAATTAATTACCCCTTTAAAGGCCCTATCTCCAAATGCAGACACTTTCTGAGGTATTGGGGGTATGGTTGAGACCTCAACAATGAATTTTAGGGGAACATAACTCAGCCCATGACAGCTGTGCTATCATGGTCAGAATATGTTCCCCCAAATTCACATGTTGAAAACTGAATCTCCAATATAACAATGTTGGCAGGTGGGACCTAAGGGAGGTGTTTAGATCATGAATGCTCTGCCTTCCTAAGTGGATTAATGGTGCTATAAAAAAGGCTAGTGGGCGTGGGCCTTTCCTCTACTCTTCTGCCAATGTGAGGACACAGAAGTCTTCTCTCTTGCACTTCTGCCTTTTGCCATGTAAGGACACAGTAAAAAGATCTATACCCAAGGCCAGTGACTTGATCTTGCCCTTCCCAGTTTTCAGAACTGTGAGAGAATAAGTTTCTGTTCTTTATAAATTACCCAGTCTCAGGTATTCTGTTAGAGCAGAACTGAACAGACTAAGACAAGCTGGCTATAATTCTGTGTGAATACTCCTGTTTATTTGAGTGCATATTAACATAATGAAGCAATGTCGGCATAAACAAGTAGGGGGGAAATACACCCTATAAATTTTGGGTCTCTTTATCACAACCAAGAATGATATCCTTGCCAAATGGTACAAGCCTTTGACAAAAATCATGCCTTCAAATGAAGGATTTAATTTACAAATTATAACTATTTTGTCATTTTACCAGGGATTTTCTAACATGTTTATAACTTATTTAATAAATATGTTTTCCCATTATGATAAAATATTCACTGGTGACCACAGATGGGTCACAGATTGTTAAGACTGCCTTGGAAATGACTACTGTGAAATATCATATTCTAGGCACTTTTTAATCAAAAAAATTTTTTTAATTAAGCAACATTTAAATCAAGAAATATTTGTCTATAATCCTATATCATATTTTTTCCTTAGAACTTTGTAAACTTTGATGTCCTCTGGGATAAAATATTAGCATAAGGTCAATCTTTTATTGCCCCTCCTTTAAGGGGAGCTGTTTTGCTTAAAGAATTATTTTTTTTTTCATCTCATGTCTTATTGCTCATTCTGTATCAACTTTTCCTTTGTAGCATGAAATTTTGATTCTGCTAATTCAGATATTCTCTTATATCAGAAATGTTTTTCTGTTTTATATTTTTAAATATTTTCTACAAAGATATTTCAATATAAGTATCCCATTTAGGGGGGCTTTTAACCCCTAAAGGAATAGCAATTATCCTAGTATTGGATCATCTTTGTCCTCTATCACTCATTTTCTTTCTAATTGCTTTCATTTGTATCTCTTTTCTTAGCCATTATTTAAGCACTAGTTAAGTTTTAATTTATTTAACCCTTATATAACAAGCCTGTGTGCTAACTGCTATCATTATTCTTATTGTTTTGGTCAGGGGCCCAATATGAAATATATTCAAGTTAGGTAATTTAAGGGCTATTTAATAAAAGAATTATTTACAAAGCTATGGGCAGAATACGGGATAACCCCAGGAGACAATGAAGTGCTCTCGTTTTCTTAACAGCTAGGGACTGTTACCATTCTTGGCCCTGAAGGATACAAGGAGGAAGTGATTACTACTTCCCTGAGACAGAGCTATTTCAGTAAGGGCCTTGCCAGGAGATATGCCCTTCAGTTGAGGGATTGAGCCCTGTGACTACATAGGAAAGGAGCTGAGCTGGAATAAATACTCCGGCTCTGCTCTCTTCTCTCCCCTTAATTTCCCCTTGAATGCTTCCCATTGCCCAGATACAACTTAAAGCTAAACGTCAAGGAAGTTTCTGGATGCATTCCACATAGGTCAGCCTCTGCCTCTTAGGGTACAAAGTAGAGTAGAGAAGAGTGAATATAGGTCTAGAGAGGCAAAATAAAGATATTTATCATACCCATCTTATACTCCAGCACTACACTATTCTGTCTTTGGCGGTAGGTCGTTAATAAAGTAAGTATATAGTATATCAACTACTTTCTGTGGGAAATATAAAAAAATGTATACAAAATATTAAAAATCTAGTCTTTCCAAACTAGATTTTAAAAAGAAAAAAAAGCAGAAAACAATGAAAGGGTTTTTTTTATATCATATTTATATTTATATCTTATTACTTTTGGAAACCACCATGAAGAACTGCAAGCTCTTTGACTGTTGCAGTGCTTAACAGCATCCAGGAGATGGCAGCATTGGTAAGGTATAGCACCATTTAGCAATCAAATGTTCAAAATATTTTTTCACAATTATCACTGATAGATAATAAACTTCCTAAATGGAAATAACTTTTTAAGGCATAGTTAGTCCTAAGTAATTAAAAATGAAGAAATACTAAATTACTGTCGAATAACAGTATGGCTTTATGGAAATGGTTACTCAAGAGTAAACATGCATGGTCACTGCAGTTTCGTCAACGACAGGACCGCAATACACAAGGGTGGTCCCCTAAGATTATAATGGAGCTGAAAAATTCTGATCGCCTAGTGACATCGTGATGATCCTGACCGTGTGTAGGTGTAGGATAATGTGTGTGTTTTTCGTTTTTATCAGAAATGCTTTAAAAAAAATTTTTTTTAATTTTTCATTTAAATATAGAAAAAAGCTTATAGAATAAGGATACGCAGAAAGATAATATTTTTCTATAGCTGTGCAATGTGTTTGTGTTTAAGGTTAAGTATTATTGCAAAAGAGTAAAAAGTTTTAAAATATTTTGATGTTTATAATGTAAAAAATCTATAGTAAGCTAAGGTTCATTTCCTATTAAAGAAAGAAAAATAGTTTTTTATAAATTTACTGTAGCCTAAGTGTTTATAAAGTCTGCAGGAGAGTATGGTAACGCCCTAGGCCTCCACATTCACTCACCACTCACTCACTCACTCACTCACTCACCCAGAGCAACTTTCAGTCCTATAGGGAGCTCCGTTCATGGTAAGTCTCTATACAGATATACCACTTTTGATGTTTTACAAAATATTTTTACTGTACCTTTGCTACATTTAGATACACAAATGCTTACCATTGTATTACAGTTCCTGCAGTATTCAGTACAGTAGCATGCTGTGCAGGTTTGAACCCTAGGAGCAGTAGGCTATATCACATAGCCCAGGTGTGTACTGTGTTTCCCCGAAAATAAGACAGGGTCTTATATTTATTTTTCCCCAAGAAGACACCCTAGGGCTTATTTTCATGAGATGTGTTATTTTCTTTAAGTACGGTACAACAGTCTATATTTATTCAAATATAGTTAAGTCATCTCCTTCTGGAACATTATCATCACTCTCCAAACGCCGAATTCCATCCTGAATTTCTTGCAACTCTATTTCCTTTAGAACCATTGGCCCCAATCCCTCATGTCAAGCAATAAGAGGTCTCATGGGGCACATGAGAAGGGCTGCTCATCTTCTTTACCACTCCACAACAAAATGCATGGGTTGTGCAGATACGCTGTGCAGCCAGGCCCACCACTAGGTCTTATTTTCAGTGTAGGGTTTATATTGCGCAAATGCTCAGAAATCCTGCTAGGGCTTATTTTATGGGTAGGTCTTATTTTCAGGGAAACATGGTAGTGGCCTATACCATCTAGGTTTGTGTAAGCACACTCTCTGATGTACCCACAATGACAAAATCCCTAACAACACATTTTGTGAAATGTACCCCCATCATTAATCGACTTATAACGGTACATATGTCCCACTACTTTCCTGATATAATCCTCAAATACAAAAGAGACGCACACCTATAAATATATGTAGTATTAAATGGTGTCTTTACAAAATTTGCATAAATCACCAGCCTGTATTCCCAGCTACTCTGGAGGCTGAGGCAGGAGGATCACTTGAACCCAGGAGTTGGAGGTTACGGTGAGGTATGATCAAGCCACTGCACTCCAGCCTGGGAGACAGAATGAGACCCTGTCTCAAAAAAGAAAAAAAAATTGCATAAATCATAAAGTGTTCAAATCTTCAGTTGTAGATAAGCAAGACATAATCTATAAACTGTAATCAAAAGCAAGTTTAATAACAAATCACATAAAAAGTATCATGTTTCTGATGCAATGACTAATTAAAACCTCACATTGACTATAGAAAAAACAATAGATCCACCTTTAAATATCATTTCTAAAGTGCTTCAGCCATATCTAACAATCAAACTTGTAAAATTTTAAAGATACACATAGATGTTGTCAATCTTCTTGGCCAGGTACTTTGTAGAAAGGACAAAATACTTTAAAAAACAAAAAAGTCTGCCCCGTTAATCTCAGTATGCTACGGAGACAGATCCCCCCAATGAATCAGATACAATGGGATCTTGCTCTAACAAGGCTGGGAGGGCCAGCCTGTCTGACCTCATGTCAGGAGTCACAGAAGCTTCACCAAGGAGGGAGGACTGGCCAGACACTGGGAGATGAGCCCGCGTTTGCCAGGACGACCACGTGGAGAAGGTCACGGCCTGCAGAAAGTAGAGCCGGTTGAGCAAGAGTGGGAAGGCACACATGAAACCCACGCTCTATCCCAGTGGTTAACCACAAGCGATTTTGCTCCCCCCCCCCCCCGGAGATTTCGAAAAGTCTAGAAATATTTTTGGTTGTCACGACTGGAGGAGCACTACTGGCAGCTGGTGGGTTTAAAGGTCAGGGACGCAGCTAAACAGCCCAGAATGCACAGACAGCTGACCACAACAAATATATTACCTGACCCCCAAGAGTGGGGCTGTGGAGGAATTGCTCTAACCACAAACTGCATCTCTTAGAATGACAAGGGTACAGAGAGGGGGACAGGAAAGAGGCCAGCGATGAAGCCAGAAAGGTTGTTTTGTGTTTTTTTTTTAAAGGGGCAGGTGGGGAGGACAACATTAGGGAAGACTTATTGACCAAACAAAAAAAC